TGTCCCTCGTGTCTCTGCAGTCTCAGTCAGTATCTCCAACCTGTACCCGGGCTGTGAGAACGTCAGTGTTCGCAGTCGCAGCATGATGTTCGAGCCCAGCCTGACCAAAGGGGTTCTGGAGGTCTTCTCGCCGGTCCACGGAGGTCCGTCCACCGCGGACGATCAGGCCACCAAGGCCATCGACATCCAGCACGCCAGCGTCCACGGTGCGTCCCGGACCGTCCCGGACCGTCCGGACGGACGCGTTTGAAGGTAATGTCCCACAGGAAGTGTCGAATGTTGACCTGCGTCTCTCCGAAGGTGTCGGGGAGTTCAGCATCTGGGAGTTTTCGGGGAACCCGGTGTACCACTGCACCTACGACTACTTCGCCGCTAACGACGCCACGGCCATCCACCTGGTTCTGTTCAGCCTGGAGGAACCCTACGAGACCCAGCTGGGCCACATCACGTACTGGCTGAATCAGCTGAAGGCCCTCACCCTCCCACAGGACAACATCAGTGAGTGGGGAGTCCCAGCTTCTTCTGCAGACTGAGCTGCTAATGTGTCAAAACCTTCGGCTCTTTCAGGAGATGGCTGCTGTGACTTTTAGCTTTTTTAGCCTTTGTACTTTTAGCATGGTTAACTTTATTTAAAAGAAATCCCCCATTCTCTTTAAAATCTGCTTCAGCTGCTGCCTCTTTTTCTCTCCCAAGGCTAGTTTTAGCTTTTAGCTAGCCTTTCGCTACCTGTAGCTTTTAGCTAGGCTTTTCCTTTAGCTTCATCTTTAAGCTCTAGTTTTGCTACTTCTATCTAGCATTCAGCTACTTTAGCTCTTTTACCACCCTTTGAATACTTTTAGCTATCATTTAGCATCTTTTAGCTGCTGTTGTGGTCCTATTAGTTTTTAGCTTCTATTGTCACATTTCAGCTTCTTCAGCAGTTGGACAGTTTTTACAGAAAATGTTTTAGTTTTTACTTAAATTGTAGAAATGATGAAATCATATAGTCACAGAAACTTTAAGAATTGTTTTGTTTGTTTGTTTGTTTGTTTGTTTGTTTGTTGGCGTTCAGTGTTTGGAGGTCGGATCCAGCAGCCTCTCACGGTGGTTCTGGTGGCGACCCACGCGGACCTCGCCAACATTCCCAGAAGTTTCTCTGGAGAGTTCAGCTACGACAAGGAGCGAGTTCTGCTCCGGGAGGTCCGGAACAGGTCAGAACCACAGCGCCCCACATTTCTGTGAGGTGTCGGCCATCTTTGCTGACGTTTGCAGCCTGACCCGATCGGGTCAGACGTTGAGTTCTGATCCAAACGGGTCAGAAGTTGAGTTCTGATCCGAACGGGTCAGAAGTTGAGTTCTGATCCGAACGGGTCAGACGTTGAGTTTTGATCCGATCGGGTCAGACGTTGAGTTTTGACCCGATCGGGTCAGACGTTGGGTTCTGATCTGAACGGGTCAGACGTTGAGTTCTGATCCGAACGGGTCAGACGTTTACACCTCGGCCATAAATTAAGTCAAACTCAAAGAACCATTGTGAGGGAACAGGAAGGGAACCAGGACCTTCACCTGGTTCTGTTTTTTTCTGTTGAACTCGGGAGATAAAGCGTCTCCTGATGGACGCTTCAGAGTGTCCTCGTTTGACCCGTATAATGAGTTCTGGTTCTGGTTCTGTTGGTCCTCAGGTTTGGGAACGACCTGCAGCTCAGTGATAAACTGTTTGTGATGGACGCCGGCGCCTTGAGCTCCAAAGACGTCAAGCTGCTGAGGAACCACCTGCAGGAGCTGCGCTCCAGCATCGTCTCTGTGAGTCCTGCTGGACGTGTCATGTTCATGCCTTTCTGTTCTTCATGTCTTCCCATCCACTCCTGTCCATTTTGTCTTCATGTTCTTCTTATCTTCGTGTCCCTCCTGTCCTCAGAACTGCAGTCCGATGACCCAGCTGTCTGAGCGTCTCCTGTCCACGCTGCCGGTCTGGAGGAAGCTGAGTGGACCGAACCAGCTGATTTCCTGGCAGCAGTTTGTGAGCGACGTCCAGGATCAGATCAACCCTCTGGTGAGCCAGGACCACCTCCGGACCCTGGCCCTGCAGCTCCACAGCATGGGGGAGGTGAGGGACGTCTTTATTTGTCCACCGAGCTGGCGGTCGGGTCAGCAGACGTCCCCCTGAGGACATTTGGTCTCTGAGCTCAAACGTTTTCTTCTTGATGTTTTTGTAGTTTTTTGTAGCTCAAAGTTTTTACTTTTGACAGTTTGAAACCTTTGTCCAGTTTGTGATCTTTAATGTCCCATTTGTGATCTTTAATGTCCCATTTGTGATCTTTAATGTCCCGTTTGTGATCTTTAATGTCCCATTTGTGATCTTTAACGTCCCGTTTGTGATCTTTAACAACCGGTTTATCGTCTTTAACATCTCATTTATGGTTTTAACGTCCCTTTGAAGGTCTTTAACATCTCAGTTATGGTCTGTAATGTCTCGATTCTGATCTTTAACGTTGTGTTTTTGTTCGGCTCAGATCTTCTCTGACCAGGTTCTGTTTGTCCTCCTCAGATCAACCTGGTGCAGAGTGAGACTGTGCAGGATGTGGTTCTGCTGGAGCCCCGTTGGCTCTGCACCAGTGTCCTGGGGAAGCTGCTCTCTGTGGAGACGCCCAAGGCCATCCACCACTACAGGGGGCGCTACAGGCTGGAGGAGGTCCAGGCTCTGGCTCCGGACAGCGACGTGGAGGAGTTGCTACAGATTCTGGACGCCATGGACGTTTGTGCGCGTGACGCCACCAACCCATCTATGGTGGACGTTCCTGCCCTCATCAAGACTAACGGTCTCCACCGGTCCTGGACCGAGGAGGAGGACGAGGACTCCCTGATCTACGGAGGGGTCCGGCTGGTCCCTGCCGAGCACCTGACCCCGTTCCCCTGCGGTCTGTTCCACAAGCTGCAGGTGAACCTGTGTCGCTGGAGCCACCAGCAGAAACCGGAGGACGACGGCGAGGACTCTGACGGGGACATCCACCTGTGGACCAACGGAGCCAAAGTGAGCCAGGCTGAAACCGAGGCCATGATCCTTCTGGTGAACCACGGGCAGGGCGTGGAGATCCGGGTGCGCGGACACACATCGGAGCAGGCCAAGTGCTACGCCCTGCTGGACACGATCTGCAGCATCACGGAGAACCTGCTGAGCTCCACGCTGCCCGGACTGCTCACGGCCCGGTACTACCTGAGTCCGCAGCAGCTGCGCGAGCACCACGCCCCCATCATGGTCTACCAGCCCAAAGACTTCTTCAGAGCCCAGGTCCAGAGGGAAACTTCTCTCACCAACACCATGGGGGGGTATCGGGAGAGCTTCAGCAGTATCCTGGCTTTCGGCTGCGTTGAGGTCTACCAGCAGGGGATTGTGGGTAGAGAACTGCACATATCGGACGTGCCCCTGTTGGCCCGCAGGAAGCTGTGCCGCATGCTGGACCCGCCGGACGCCATGGGCAAGGACTGGTGCCTGCTGGCCATGAACCTCGGCCTCACAGATCTGGTGGCCAAACACAGCGCCGGGACTCCAAACGGGACCCCGGACTCAGACTCCCAGCATTCCGAGCTGCAGCCCAGCCCCACCGCGGCGCTGCTGCGGGAGTGGAGCGGGCGGGCGGACAGCACGGTCGGCGTCCTCATGACGAAACTGAGGGAGCTCGGCCGGAGAGACGCGGCCGACTTCATCCTGAAGGCCTCTCCGGTGTTCAAGGTCAACATGGAGGCCGTGGGCGGGGCCTCTGGCAGGAACCCGCCCACCTGCAACGGAGGCACGTCGTACAACTCCATCAGCTCCGTCATTTCCCGCTGAGGCCGCTTGGACCGGGCCGACTCATGAGGTGCAATCAGAACCAGATGTTCTGGATGAACTGAGCTCCAAAGAGGGATCCGTGGTTTTTATTCTGTCTGGTGATATTTTATTAATGTTCCTGCTCTGCTGCTGCGCACGTCTTACAAACAAACAAAAGCAAAATCAGAGTAGGCGGGGCTTTAAAAACATGGCAGCCTCTTTGGTTTCTGTAGAAGGCTGCTTCGTCCAACAGCTGCATCGTCACGGCTCTTCACCCCGTTTGTTTGTTTGTTTGTTTCAATGACTCTGTGCCTTCGTGGCCTTCTACCTCCCTGAAAGCACAAACCGTTTTTCTCACGACAGAAGTCAAAGAACGGTGCCTTTAACGATTCGATCAGAAAACAACGTTTAAACACGTAAATAATCTAAATGTAGATTCAACGCTGCGATGATTTTATAACTTTTAAAATCCAGAATCACAAAAAAAACAGTTTTATCCAAAAAGAGAAACGTTCTCCGTTTGTGTTCACGTTTCTTTATTTCACACTAACACGCTTTATTTCTGCCACTGTTTTACAGACGCCCCGAATCCTTTACAGCTCATTTTATTTGGATTTTTACTTGAAACCATGTAAAGCCTGCAGTTCTGTTCTGACCCAGGTCCCTGCCTTTGTCCTGTAAGATAAATATTTTCATTTTAGACCAGCAGAGTTCTGCCCAACTGTCCCAGATTCTGCTAAAAGACTTCATTTAAATGTTTATTCTGAAGCATTTTTTTATATTGAGTTGACTTTATTTCCTGATTTCCATCAAATCTGCAGTCAAACAGGAACGATGATGGAGTTTTAGCTCCTGGCTGTTACGTCTTTAATCTTTAAGTTTTATTAAGATCCTCTGGTGTTTAACTGTTTTACTCATTTTATCTGTTCATGAATCTAAAAAATCTTTAAATGAAAGGTTTCAATCAGACAAACCAAAGATTTGGTGGGTTTAATTTCTTGGTGGCAGGTTGCAGTTACTGCTTCCTGCCACTAGATGTCGCCGCAGCCTTGACTCTGGACCTTTTATTAAACTCCACTCAGAACCAGAATCTGACACCGGTTCTGTTCTCTTTCAGCCAGACAGCTGAAATCTGAACCGTGTGAGACTCTGGGACGAAGCTCGTCGCTGTAAAGCTCAGACGTTTGTTGGGTTTAAAGTTTACTCCGTTCAAACGCCGTTCATCGTGACGAGTCCTCAGAGGTTTATTCAAACTGGAAGGTTTTTATTTTCAGCTTTGGTCTGTAAGATAAAAATCCTGCAGGGATGTTTCAGACTGTCATGGCCGACAGGGCTAACGAGTTGGGAGAAGGAGGAGATTTGACCTGAGCAGAAGTAACCTGGTTCATGTAGAGGAGTCACCATTGACCTTACTGCTGAACCTTCACCGCGTTTCCCAGAATCCTCGGAGTCTGGTTGTTGTGCAGCTGAGTCCGAGCGTCCCCTCACGTCTTCTTTCACTTTGGGTTTTCACGGCGTGAACCTGAAACCTGAACGGATCAGCAGAAACTCAG